TTAATGATGGCCATTCTTACTGGGGTTAGATGGTATCTCAATGTGGTTTTGATTTGCATTTCTCTGATGGTTAGTGTGACTGAGCCCTTTTTTCATGTGTCTGTTGGCTGCCCATATATCTTCTTTTGAGGAGTGTCTATTCATGTCTTTTGCCCACTTTTTAATGGGGCTGTTTGTTTTTTTCTTTCAGCACATTTGAGTTCCTTGTAGATCCTAGATGTTAGGCCTTTAGCAGATATATATTTGGTAAATATTTTTTCCCATTCTGTGGGTTGTATCCCTGCTCTCTTGATGGTTTCTTATGCTTTTCAGAAGCTTGTCAGTTTGATGAGGTCTTACTTGTCTATCTTATCTCTTATGGTATGGGCACCTGAGGTTTTGATCAGGAACTGGTTGCCAGTTCCAATTTCTATAAGGGTGTCTCCTGTATTTACTAAGATTCTTATAGTTTGAGGTTTTACATAAAATCACTTTTTCATCCTGCATCCTTTCACAAATTTGAAGTCACTGGTCATATCTATCTTCTTTTTAACTAAATATTCTAATTTCCAAAAACCATTTCACATATATCATATACTTTTGGATTCCTTACATGTCATCATCCTAGCTTGTCCATGTACCCTTGAAGGGTGATTTCAGACTTGGAGGCAATGTACCAGATATAATGACATCTAGATTGTGCTGTGACATAAGATGGCTCAATAATGTCTGTTGAATGAATGAACGTCTGCTTTTCCTACTTTGGGTATTTCTTTGTGTTGGAGTCAATTTGCTCTTTGTGTGTGGGAACTCATTTCCTTCTACTACATGTGACCACATCTGGATGAAAAGAAGAAAGTGACACCTCCTCTTACTACCAGCATTTCATTTCCTGGAGAGTTATCTTTCAAGCCAAATCTTGCTAGCACACTTTTACATCTTAAACTGATGTTATATGTCTTCTCTTTGGAGAAGGTACTTTAAGGGGAAGACAGTCACTACTGAGAAAAAAATATCTGACTTCACAAGCTAGTTTGTTTTTATGTTTCATAGTCTCTCTATTTTTCTGTTTCCCTTAGTATTGATTTGTTAACATTATTTTTTTAGATTCCAAGCTCTCACAGGTATGCTAAATGAAACTGGAAAAGAAAAATAAAGTTTTTCTTAAACTAGGTTCAGATTTATAACTGACAGTAGTAACTTAAGTACCTGGGTAAAATCAAAATGTGAGCCACAGGAAAAAGTGAGACACATGGGAACAGATTTGAGACCATTTTGGGGGGAAAAATTAATTAGAGATTTTTTATTGAATATTTACCCTTTTATACTCTGAGTTTCATTTTAACAAAACACATTGATCTTTTCCAGTTTCATGATTCTAGGACTTAGTCGATGGCATTTTTACTAAATACCACCTATGGCATGTATCCTAGGGGTAAAAAGCATTTCTTCTTGTTGGGAGCCAACATCTATAGCTACATGGCTAAGGCCTGTAAAGGCCCATCTGGAAGATCGCCTCTGACATAGGATATCAGTTATACCTATAATATTGGCATGTGATTAGTGACCAGTGTGCATACATGGCAGGAAAATTTATAAGTAAATCTCTATACACCTGATGGAAAGTTGCACAGTAGAATTATTTTATATGACCTTGTCCCTTCTAAGTTGTACCTTTTTCTAGATATTTTTTTACTTCTATTTCCTTGTAGACTGGTTAGTCAGCGCTTGTTCCCAAAGGCAGTTTCTCCTAGGATTAAGATTAGAAACTAAATTATCATAATAGTTTTATTGCCCTGCCCCTAGCCAGGCAGGACGTTTTTCTAGTTTTGTTACATGCCGAAACTCTGTTTGCTTCAGCCCGTGGTCATTGTCATGGTAACCGTGCAGCCCATTATCCAAGAGTGTGACAGCTACTATTTGATTTGATTTTTAGAATAGACTTGTTTGTATAAAACATACATTTAAGATGATACAATTTCCATCGAAAAGATTTAAACACTAATAAGCATTCATAGAAAACTTTTAAGTTTTGTTTAAGCTTCCTTTTCTCAGATTATGACTTTAGTTCCTATTCCTGTAGGCCAATTTTAAGATCTTTTCATTAGTGTACCGAAATTTTCCCAACGGTGTTGTTTTTGCTTCTAATATGACAATAGGAAATTTTACACGTAGCCATGTATTAATGTACTAGGAAAAAAAGATTTAAGTTTTGGGTTAAAGTCCAATCACTAGATCATATAAAAATTAAAGTTTAGGTTTATGAAACTCATATAAGTTATGGTAAGGAATGAGATTTGAATTAATTGTTATAGAATTACAGGACACTACGTTGAATCATAATAGGTTAATAGAACAGCTAAGTCATTTAAGTAAACTTATAGATTATAGTATAGTGTTAAGTTGATAATATTAATCGTTAAAAATATTTGGAGTCAGTGAACTTGGATTGAACCTAGAGTTAACTCAGAAAAGTTTTTTGTATTAATCAGGGTTTAGAACAAAGAGTATAATATGAATGATTTATTGAACACTATGGAAGACATTTTGAACAATTGAAATTGTGCACCTGTGACCTTGATGTGAGTTTTGTGAAGCACGTCAGGCATCATGGAGTTTGAATTGTCTGCTTGGAACTTGCAGGTCTCGTGATGGTCTTGTGATGCATAATTTATAAACCGCAATATACATCATGGAATTTGTATGCCCCCAGTAAATAATTATCACACTGCTGGAGGGTATAGAAAATGGTATATAAGTTGGAAAAGGTTTGAATAAAATCGGCTCCAGTCCTGATCAGACTGTTCCCAGAAGAACTGCCTCCGAGTGGTCTTCTCGTCGACTCCTGATTCTCTGGTGCGGGTCCTAACCCACCCTTGGTCAGTGTTGGTCACCGACATCTTCCCACTGGGAAGATGACAAGGGCAAACTGTACTAAGAAGGAGTTTTTAAAATTACATAGAAAATCAGAATGAGATGGTATTTCCCTAATAGGATGGTGTTAGGAATAATTGGGAGAGGTGTCAGTATTTTTCTGCTATTTAGTTCATCTGAGGGCATGTTCTAGGAGAGATAAAAGGGCCCCTCTGGAGATGAACATAACAGAAAGAAAGAACCCTACCAATAAAAAGTGGCAGCGGGCTGGTTAGCAAATGTAGGAATATAGCCTGACTATTAGTGTTGCCCTGTGCTCGTCTCTGTATTTTTTCTTCATATAGACTTCTTTTTTTTAGTTACTCTTTTAGTCCTTTTTTGCTTTTACTTCTCTAGACTGGATCCCAAGATTCCAGACAGATAATCCTTTTCTAAACCTCTATTGAATAACACTAACAATATAAAGACTATGCAAATGGTCCAGTAAAGAAAAACAATATTGATTTTAAGGTCAGTAGCCATATAAACTTCCACCAAAGCCAAAAACATTCACAATGGAGAACAACCTTTCTAGAAAAAGTCAAAATTAGTAGTTGGTGAAATTATGCAGTGTTCTATAACATTTCAATTCTGTCCTTTGGGAAAATGTGTATTTTACATTCTCCAGTTAATTAGGAGCAGCAAAAAAGGGAGCTCTAATCTATTGAATCCTGTGAAGAGTTCTTGAGAGGGCTTAATTTCATGAGGTTTTGTTGAGTCTGCCTTTATGGGAAAGTAGGAGAGGAAAAGTTAGCCCAAAACAGCTAGAAAAGGCTACAAATCTATATTTATCCCTCCACTGATGTGTCTTTCAATCTATCTACCAATATCTGTATATCTATTTACCTACCTACCTACTTATTCAAGGCCAACTCTAGTTACTAGTACTATCCTAATAACCCAGTTAATTATATAAAATATAGACAGGTCCCCAACATAAGTGCTGGGTGTGTGGTTCCTACTAGAGAATTATCACTGCTGCCTGAGTTTGTTTCTCTGTGAAGGCAAGAGGACATAACACTCCATGTCTTCTGACATTATTCTTTTGCCCTCTCAGCCTTCTCTAAGGGCCTGTCTTCACCACCAAATTAGCTATAGTAACTCATATGCATTTATGTACATGTTATACATTGTGTCTTGTATCCCAGAGCAGACTAAAGGCAGTAGAAGATTTATTCTAAGTAAAAACCATCTCATCTAAAACAAAACAATCATATCTTGTTTGGTAATCTTGTCAAAAGAATATTCCAAGGTGTTTATTCCAGCCTTTGTGGTAGTTTATGAATGAAACACTCATGGAGTGATTGATACTGGGAGAGAGTAGTTGAGTGACTTCTGAAGTGTGTGATACTGAGTTCTGTAACTTGTGAGGTGAAAAAAATTTGTATTCATGGGCAAGAGTAGTGACCATTTACCTTCAGACCTAAGGAAATTGACCACGAGTCATTTCTGTATAAGGAACAAATGAATAATAACATTGGTAGGCATTAGCATAGATCCCAGGCAGATGAGCCTGCTGCAAGGAACAACTTTTACTTTGAGTACTTGGGGGTACTGCAGAGTTCTCCTTAGGGTGTGCTCACTGTGTACCTCCATATCCACCCATTCATGGCCTATCCCTGATCAGTAACTCAACTTGTGCCTAGGGGGTTCCAGTCTACATTGAATTCCACTCTTAAGTCATTATAAACATAGCCTTGAAAAGGGTGTTTTCAAATACAGCTAGCTTCTATGGCAAGGATAAGAAAATTATGGCCTGTGGGGAAAATCCTGCCTACCATCTGTTTTGTAAATAAAGTTTTATTAGAACATGGCCTCCCCCATTTGCATATACATCTTATACATTTTCTATGTCTATTTTCATGCTACAACAGCAGAGTTGAGTATTTATGACAGATTTTATGGCTCATAGTGTCTAAAATATTTACACTCTAAACTTTCAAAGAAATCATTTACTGATATTTGCTCCACAGGATGAGAAAGATGTAAGCTTTTTACCTGGTAGGATTGTTTTACCCAGGTGGTTTTATGGCAGAAAGATTCTAGATTTTTTTAAATTAGTTTAATACACAAATGAGGGAAAAAAATTAACCGTATCCACACGTGGACTAGGGACCTGCTTCTGAAACAATCTGGCCTCCAACTAGTTTCTTAAGGGCTCCCTTTACATCTTTGTTTCTCAGGGTATAGATTGTGGGGTTCAGCATGGGGGTGACTACATTGCCAAAAATCTGCACTGGGGTCACCAACACTTCACTCAGAGATGGCTGGGTATAGATGAGGGCACAAGGCCCAAAGAACAGTGTGACCACTGACACGTGGGAGACACAGGTAGATGCCGCCTTGCGCCTCCCTTCAGCAGAGCGCATATTTAGGATTGCAATGACAATGCGGACGTAAGAGGTAAGGATGAGGAGAAAGCAGGTCATGGGCACAAGGCCAATGTTGGTGAAGCTCACCGTCTCAATGATAAGGGTGTTACCACATGCCAATTTGACTACAGGGAAGATGTCACAAAAGAAATAGTCCACCTCATTAGAACCACAGTATGGCAGCTGGAAGGTCAACGTGGTGAGAATAGTCGCATGAAAGGAGCTAGTAAGCCAGGTGCCAGCAGCCAGCAGGGCACAAACCCGGCGGTTCATGATGATGGTGTAGCGCAGAGGGTGGCAAATGGCAGCAAAACGGTCATAGGCCATTACCGTGTAGAGCAGACACTCGGTGCTGCCGAGGAAGTGGTAAAAAAAGACCTGGCACATGCAACCATCCAGCAAGATGACTCGACTCCTCATCAGCAAGTTGGCCAGCATCTTTGGAGTGCTCACAGAGGAGAAACCAATGTCCAGCACAGAGAGATTACAAAGAAAGAAATACATTGGGGTGTGGAGGTGGGAGTCAGATATCACAGCTATGAGGATGAGGAGATTTCCTAACAAAGTGCAAAGGTAGAAGATCATGAAAACCACAAAGAGCACCCTTTCCTGCCCCTCCGTGTGTGGGATGCCTAACAGGATGAATTCTGTAACCAAAGTGTGGTTCTTTACCTCCATAGAAGTTAGATGTTATCCTGGAAAGAGGGAAAAAAAGATGACAATGAGCTGATAATCCAAGGGACCAAATTTTACTGCTTGCAACCAATAAATTCACAAGGAAGAAAAGCAATCACAAATCCTATTAATGAAAAGATAATGTTTATCGTGATTCAGACTGTAGGACCAGCAAACATCCACAGAAGGACTTGTGGTCTTTGGGTGTGAGGACTGAATCCTGGCAACTTGGGCAAATGAGCAGATTTTTTTTTACTATCATCAGATAGAAAACAGCAAAGGACAGAGAATGGAAGTACTGAGGACTATGAAAGGCCAAGAAAGACCAAAAAAAGAAAGAAAGAAAGAAAGAAAGAAAGAAAGAAAGAAAGAAAGAAAGAAAGAAAGAAAGAAAGAAAGAAAGAAAGAAAGAGAAACAAATGTGGGGCAACTTATAGTTTCCATAGAATTTTCATAACCACTTTTTTAGTTAAGCCTTAAGGGAATCCTATAAGATAGGTGTTAATATTTTTATTGCAGAGTTAATGAAGAAATCATGATATATAGAAGATAAATAGCCCATTCAAATTCTCATTTGCTGCTCCTGGCACATCCCAGATTGGAACACAAGGATTTGAAATCCACTATATTATAATAGAAAAAGGAGAGAAAAAAGGTATGAAAATGCAGAGGAGAGAAAAATGTATATATTTTCTCAACTAAAAATACTTCAAAGACACATTATTTCAATCACTTACTTTTTAATTTTATTTCTTCATACACATCTTTGCCAAGTTGGCTTTGAATTCTTCCCTGAAAATTCTTGTATTAATCCTGTCCTTTTGTGTATTGGTCATCACTCCAAACAGCTGTGCAATGAGGGATGTTACCACTGCATCCCTTACCCTATTTTTGTTGATGCACTCTAACATTGCATGAGGTTTCAGAAAACATTGATAACACTGTAGCATGAAATTGTAATGTTTTAATTTGTAAAACGAGAAGGAGGTTTCCGTGCTGGATTCTACTATGCAATGCTAGAAACTTTCTTCATTTCTCTCTTTAAAAAAAAAAAAAGATTTCTACCCCTCCCCCCAACCCCCCAAAAAGGTTATTACATCTATCATTTATGGCTGTTCACTTTAATCATTGTGGTATTAATTCATCACTCAAGCCTATGAAAGCATCTTTGTAGATCTTCACTCTGTCATCTAATATAGAGTGTATTTTTTAGCATAATTTTCTTCAAGAGGACTTTTAGTGTCTACTTCTAAGTTCTTGTGTATGCAGAAATATTATACTTTTATTTCTAATAAATTGATAAGAATTTGTCTAAAATTATAACAAATTATCTTTTGCTGAGTTAGAGTACATACTTTACCAGATCTGAGTAGAGAAGAGAACCAGTCAATTTTTAATGATCATTTTTATTCAACTAAATTTGGTAGTGGAATTGCATTTAGCAATATACAGATTGTACACATAATTATTTTCAGATACTATGGATAAAGTAAGTCACTTAAAAGGCAGAATATTTAATAAGATTTTAGAGAATTTTTGTGTTCCAAAAGAGGTTAAGAAAGAATAAATTTCATGACCTACTGTGAGATCTACCACATGAATTCAATTGAACTTAACTTCATAAAAGCTTTTCTCACATATGAACAATCCTCAAGTGCAAAATCAGGCTTAGTATGTGTACATCAGGAAATTAGATTATTAGCTTTTGAAAATCCATCATACTTACACCCTTGTTCTGTTTTCATTCAATCATGAGTAATAATAATAATCTTCAATTATTGTGACAAAATAGACCATACAAAGGCATTTAAACCTTGCCTTTTTTGGTGGTGTTACCTTTATTTCTTTTTCTTGAAATTTTAGGTTAAGCAGAATAAATTCTAACAACTCCACAGGTTCAAGATTTTGAGAATCGGGGAGAGGTTACTAAATTAGAGAAAATGAAGCAAAGTTTTTACAAACTAAGACATAAATCAGATAAATAATTTATACCCTATACCTATAATGCTAAATTATTCTATTTATTCAATAAACCTGTATGATCAGAAACCATTGAAATACTGAGGCACCAAAATTGGTCATTCACAGACTCTTCTAACAAAAAAATGCAAAGATTAGAAGGAAAATAAAATCATTAAATAAGTATGATACAATGTAATAATTATATAATTAAAAATATTTGCATGGTACATTTATGTAATAATTCTGTTGAAGTTTAGAGAAAAGTGTTTACAAAAGCAGAAAGTGTCTAAGTTCTATACTGTGAAAAGACTTTATATGAAGTGTTAAAATTGTTGGCTTTCATTAGGGCTGCAAAATGATAAGCTTCATATTGGAAATAAATGACTTTGGTAGCAATGCCTAGTATGTTTTACAGGATAAATGGTCTAGATCTGGGAAGACAAGCCAAGAATGTAAAGCAACAATCCCGGCAAAAGAAGAAGCAATGATAAACTCATATATACTTATGAAGTAGAATTGATGTCTTAGTAAATAACAGAAAAACTAGGTGGGTTGTAGTGCCATTAAATGATTTACAGAATTAAGTGAATTTTCAAAATAGTTTCTAGTTTTTCAAGGTAAATATAGGATTACTTTTGTACCTGTTGCCATTGAGGAGCCTATGGTCCAACTGATTAATTATGTCCAAAAGGCAGTTGGATACATGATTCTGAAGCTAATGAGAGGACATAGGGCAAGATATGTTTATAAAAACATGGAAGTTAATCATATTATTCCTTGGGTGTACGAAGAAGAAGATGAGTACTGAAGATAGAACATAAGAGAAGAACTCAGAGCTCTTGAGAAGTATGAGGAAAGAAAGCAAACTATGCAGTAAAAGTGTCATAAATGTATTGGCTTACACCCTTCACATATATCATGTTCTGGTCCAAGTCAAATGTAGGCTTATTCACTTCTGTTCTTCTGGTATCACTTATAGATCTTATGGGTAATCTTGTTTAAAAGAATTCTACAGGCTGGCTTGGTCTTGATACCTTTAAACTTTTGGGGTTCTGGGATTTTTTTGAGGAGGGTTGACTCTACCTTTAGCCAGTCAGAGTCCGTGCAAATAAACTCCCAAACCAAAACTCATTGATCCTCTATTCCTTTCTGTAGGTTCCTATGCCTCTCCCAAAAGTGGATATCGGAGGTTTAAACAGAGCTGGCCCCACTAAGGGATCCAATCCCCTGAAGTGTCTTGAGTCCCTAAAGCTTAGAGGTTGCATCATTTTCTCACTAATTAGTTTGAATACAGCAATGGTTTTTTTTAAACTGGGACATAACCAACTAGCCCATATATACACAATGATGAAACTTTGTTCAGGACCATTTTGGAAGATCTACCAAACAACTTGGAGAGCATTCAACTTAACTCAACCGGATCAATTTTACCCAAAAAGCAAAAAGATAATGCTTCCTCAAAATATTGTATTTCTGACCCTTTTTCAAACTCTCAGTGATTGATTGCTTCCCAAACTAATGATTGTTACATGAAAGCCAGAACATAAGATTTTGAATCTTAAGATCTGGGTTCGAATTCTGACCATGAGACTATTGACATATGACTGTTGCCAGTTACTTAAATTGTCTGAGGATCAACAAATTTATTCACCTATGAAATTAAAATAATATATCTCTCACATATGTTTTATGAATTTCACATAAGATATTATGTGCAAACTTTTCTGAAAATAAAAGTAACTTTGCAAACGTGAAGAATTGACACTATATTAATTATTTTTGTTTAATGATAAGTGATATTTTCATTATTCACTTTTCGGTTGATGGGCATTTAGGGATATATATATATATATACACTGTGGAATACTATTCAGCTATCAGAAAAAATGAAATAATGTCTTTTGCAGCGCCTTGAATGGAATTGGAGAACAGTCTAAGTGAAGTAAATCAGGAATATAAAGCCAAGCACTACATATTTTCAAAGACATAGATATAATGGACACCGGAGACTTCAAAGGGGGGAAAGGAATTAAGGGGTGGAGGGACAAAAAAATTACCTATCGTATACCATGTGCACAGGTGGGAGTTGTGGGTACACGTAAAACCCAGACCAAACAATTTGTATCCCTTAAAATCTATTGAAATGAAAGAAGGAGAAGAGGAATAAGAGGAAAAAGAAGAGAAAGAAGAATTATTAAAAGCATTAAGTATGAAGTCTTAAAGAGATCCAGACTATTGGTATTTTTAATAAGTCTATTGAGATATGACTCACATACCATAAACTTATCCTTTTTTAAAGTGTATAATTCAATGATTTTTAGTAAATTTATAGAATTTTGCAACAACATCGTAATCTAATTTTAGAACATTTCTGTCACTTCAAAATATTATTCCATGCTCATTTGTAGCTGCTCCCTGTTCCTATCACTGGCACTAGGTATCTATTTACCTATATTCTGTCTTTATTTATTCATATTGTCTGGATAGTTTCTATAAATAGAATTGTATGATTTGTGGTCTTTTGTATCTGGCTTCTTTTAATTAGCACAAAGTTTTCAAGATTTATTTATGTTGCAGTTTCCATCAGTTCTTCGTCCCCTTTTGCAACTGACTAATATTTTACTTTATGGATACGTCACACTGTTTATCATTCTTTAGTTTATGGACATATGGGTTTACTCCATTTGGGGGCTAATAAGAATGTATTTATAAAAATTTGTGTACACTCTTTTTTGTGAATATATGTCTTCACTTCTCTTAGATATAGATCCAGAGGTGAAATACTGGTATTTAAATTTGAGTTACATTCAAAAGGAGTAACAATACCTTATAAAAGTGGTAATAAAGCCAGGCTCGGTGACTCAGTCTGTAATCCCACGCCCTGGGAGGCTGAGGTGAATAGATTGCCTGAGCCCGCGGGTTCGAGACCCTCCTGGGCAACTTGGCAAGATTTCATCTCTACAATAAAAATCAAAAAATCAGCCGGGCGTTGTAGCGCATGCCTGTAATTCCGGCTGCTCGGAAGGCTGAGGCGGAAAGAT